CGGCTCTGAGGTGTTCGGCACTCACGTCACCAGCTCTCCTGCTATATCTCTGGATGCAGCCCAAGGAGGTGAGCGAGAGATGTTGAAAGGGATTAGAGGGCATATTGGGGGCAGACTGGCATGGCACTCAGTCTTGGATCATCCCTCACCTGGGAGATAAAGGGCAGGAATGATGACTTCGCAGCATGAACCGAGCTTTAGGCCAGCGTTTGACCTTTGCTGTGAAAAGGTGACTGATCCGTGGATGCCTCTGATGTAAAGTACTGCCCTTATCAGGCCAACAGGGAGGGAGAGGAGTAGATAGCAGACAGGCCTGTGCAAACACATTCAACTGATTCTGGGCTTGGCTTGGTGGGAATGTTCCTAATGTCTCTCAGTTTGTCTCCCCTCCTTTTCTGTTTTCTATCCTCCCTATATCCTCCTCATCTGAGCTCCTCTGCAGAAAAATCAATGTTCCTGCAGTAGGCCTCTTTGTCTGCGCATGGTGCAGCGGTTCTGAGGCGGGTGGTAAATAATGCACAAGACGTTCTCCTTTCATTCTTTCAAAGGAGGGAGCGCTTACTAAGAACCTCTCTGAAGTGGGCTTATTAAACCAACCAGGCCAAAGCCATTGCGTTGTCTTTTTTGGGGGGGGTAAGGTGAGGTAGAAGTGAGAATGTCCCTAAGGAAAATATTTGCTGTAAGGGCCCATTATCCAATTCCTTTAACTCTTAACTGGTGAAACTAAAAGAGGAATTCAAATGGGAGGCGGATAGAGCTCCCAAAGTCACCAAGTGTGCCTTTGCTGTGGTGCACTGCAGAGATCCATCCTGCTGTCAGTTTGTGCCTGATCCCTTGTCGAAAGATAAGATTGCAGACTCGCTGTTTGATTCTCAGAGGAAGCTCTGTCTTATAAGTTTTGGTACGGAAAAACAGGAGCAGATGGCAGCTCACTCCTGGAGAGAACTCAATGCAATGGTTGATAAATCGAAGTTTGGAAAGCTTGCCCACCTAAAACCATGATATGAAATTGATGTCTTAATCCGGCGTGTCACTTTCTGGCTTTTACTCAAGTTTAAGAGTATCCTCATAGTTTCTTCTTCACCTTATTCTTTATATATTTTGAATACTTTCTTTTTTTGGGGGAAGGGCTTTTTGCCTTAATTTGATAGTGCAGCCAAATATGGGAAGAAAAGGGAGAGAGATAAATCAATCAATCAATCAATGTTTATTTATATAGCCCAATATCATAAATGTTACATTTGTCTCAGTGGACTTCAGAGTTTGTACAGAATATCAGTATGACAATACGACACCCTCTGTCCTTAGACCCTCACATCGTACAAGGAAAAACTTCCAGAGAAAACCCCACAGTTTAAAGGGGAAAATGGGAGAAACCTCAGGGAGAGCAAAAGAGTAGGGATCCCTCTCCCAGGACGGACAGACGTGCAGTAGATGCCGTGTGTAAATTGAAAAGATAATACATTTACAACATAAAGTAGACAACATCGATAAATGGCAAAGAGTCGGATTTAAACCGCAGGCAGCTGCTGTAAGGATTCATCCTTAGTACTTTGAGTGCTATGCAAGCCCACCCAATTCGATCCTATAACCCCGACTCAATTGCTGTTTCACTTTTAGCCTGGGTTCTGCAATGATTTTCATTTCTCTTTTAATCTTAGAATATAGATCTTAAAGCATGCTTTTATTCTCTGCTTTGCTTTAAGATACAGTTAATACAGTATATATCAGTCAACAGAGGCTGGCCAAATTCAGTTTCCAAGCTGCAGTTTTCACATGCTTTGGATTCACGTGGAAGGTCTAGCATAGAGAATGAATCAGATACATGTGGAGGCAGGGGAAGATATGAGATCCAATACCTCACTGATGTCAAAAACCCACCTACATACGCTCACAGAGGGTATTCTGGCCTCCGCACATATTTACCAGATTCTTAGTTTCCATTGTGCAACAAATCCCAACAGAGCCCATTTACTGCACTATTTCGCAACTTGTAAAAATAAATTCAATGGGATAGGAGCAATGCACTGATGGGAACACTGCTCTTGTTACAGCAGAACAGCAGAAGTAGGCCTCGTGTTATTGGCCCTAACACATTTGGTTTCAAGAACTGACTCAAAAGATGAAAGGAAGGGAGAGGTTTGTCTTTTTCAGGTCAACGTGCCTCCAGGGCTGCCACATCCAAAATAGATGGATCTACGAGAAAGCTGGCCAGAGTTAACGCTTGCACAATGATGACCCTAATTTATTTATTTGATTATTTTCATATTCTGCTAATCTAAGGACGTCTTTCTCCCTCTAGCGATTTCTTACAGATGCTTTAAGGCATAGTATGTCTCTGTATTCCTTCGACTGCGAATCCGATGAGTCATGCACGGGGAGCAAAAATAAATGAAACAGTCATTGTTTGGGATAATGGATAACTAATGGCTACCATATGAGATGGAGATTGAGAGCATGTGTCGTTTGAGATGAAGCAATTGAATATGCCATTATTGTCAGTTGTGACATTAAACATGCTGACATTCTGAAGTGATGAAATAAACCATGTAAATACCAAAAGCACAACAACAAGCAGGTCAGTCACCACAAACTGCAAACTAGGTGTCACCTGCCCATCTCATTGAAGTCATCCATCTCATCCATCTTTCATTGTATTCTGTCTGCATTAGTGTGATAATTATCTGCAACACTCTTCTGCACAACCAATGTAATAAGTATTGCGTTACTGTAACGCAACTACTTTTTGCGGTAACTAATAGCGTTACTAGTTACCTATTCCCATTAAGTAACGCCGTTATAGTTACTGTGATGAATCAAGAGACTTCCGTACGGTTGTCTGCTGAGCTGGCAACGCTACCCAGTCGTACATGGAGTGTTGTATGAACGTGTAGTTAGACAAATCAACTGAGAACCACTGGTCACCGCTAAATTTTTTTAGCGAAAAAACCGACAATCTACCACAACCCGAGTAGACCCAGTGACGGCACCAACTGTGCCTACCCAGAAACCCCTGATCAAAATTCGGGGTACATGTAATGAATCCACGAAGTCCCTCTAACCGTAACGACAATAAGCTACAACCCTGTTACGAAAGACAGGAACGTGGTCAAATGTTTAAATGGTTTATAAAAAAAAACACAGGAAATAGGGGTGTTTAAACTTTATCACCAATATAAAGTTCAACGTTTACGCGACGACGAGAGCGTACTATGAACCGTAGACGGTAACCACACACACGACCACCACTCGCAACGCACACGACATCGTTCACAAGCACACACATAAAAGGGGGGTATTCGTTCTGGGGTTGAGACAGGAGAACTAACCGAAATGGGACTTTACAATGGGGCGCAATTGGTTAGTAGTGAGGAGCGACCAATGAAAGTGAAAAGGTCCATGATCTCTCTGTAGTGACCATAAGCGGACATTGAATGTAGGCGTCCCCTCTAAGCCAAGTCAACCTAGGGTATTACATTGCGTCATTGCGT